GGCCAGGCTGATGACTGGGAGCCATCTATGTCTCCCCCAGACTCTGTTCCACGGGAGAATGTCCCAGATGTCACGGGGATCTCTCCATTCTTGTTTTCTTGACGGAGTGAATCCATCCAGTCAAGAGGCAGGGACTGATTGATTTGCTTATTGAGAAAGACCAAAGAACTAAGCTAGTGAGCAAAGCCCATGTCTACCCATGTGCTGGGAATAAAGGTGTGTGCCACCAACACCCAGCAAAACGTGGTTTCTCAAAATGCCCATCTTGTTAGGAGACAGGTTGTGATCTCATGTGTGTGTGCTTGCACAGGTACACGTGAGCCCACAGGCCTGTGTGGAAGTCAGAGGCCATCTGTGGGAGATATTTTTCCTTCCTTTCTGTAGATCCTGGGACCAAACTCAGGCTGTCATCAGGCTCTGGGGCAGGCTCCTTACCTGCTGAGCCGTCTCACCAGCCTCCTCCACATTTTAACTCCATAACCATGAAGTTCACTTTTTTGGCCTGTGGAATCTTAACATGGGTGTAACTCCTCTCCACCCTACCCCCCCCTCGGGGACTTCAGTTCACCCAGGGGAGAGCACACACACACACACACACACACACACACACACACACACACACACACACACAAGGCTTGAAGTCCAATTTGGTGAAAGAATGAGTCCATGGGTGACTTGCAGGATCATGGGCAACTCACAAACAGACTCACATCAGGAAACCTCACCACTGGTCAGTTTTCAACCTCATGTATATGGTAGTGTTTCTTTTTTGTAGCCTGGAATTCCCTCAAACTCACTATATAGCTGAGGATGGTGTTGAACTCATGACCCAACATTACCAGATTTACTTTAGAATTCCCAAGATTATATATCGCTTGAGTGGTGGTGGGGGGGGAGGTAGTCCCCTATACCATTTCAGAAGGAATGTGGACAGCCCCACAACCATAGACCCAGCTCTTAGCTATATGCTTGTTTATTTTGTTCCCTAGGTGACCACAGTAGCTCTGCTTCCTGGGGCAGAGGTCATGTCAAGCCCAGAGTAAAAGCCACATCATAGTATCCCACAGTACTTGTTCAGTGGAGACAGGAACAGGGAGTTGATGAGGTCCAAGCTACCAAGCTAGAAAAGGGGAGGTTCAGCAGAGGCCAGGAGGTTGAGAAGAATTCCAGGAACTATAGGTAGATGAGACGGACTTTATTTACTGAAACACGGGCCACACACAGGCAAAGGCAACAGGGCGTAGGCACAGGCCTTGGATTTTAAGGACATAGTTATACAAAATTCACAAAAATGTGGTATCTGCATATTAATTACATCACTCTTTACTCTGGGGGTTTCCAGGTGTCTGGTGTCAGCCATCATTTGATGCCTCAGAGTCCCCGGGTGTCCTAACCCCCACTTTCTCCTTCCTGATGTCTAAATCTTTAACGGCCCTGTGCCTTCTGTTCCATGCAGGGATTTTAAGAAATAAGCAATGGCATGTGTACACCTGCAGTTGAATTAATCTGGAGTCTGAGACAGGGGGATGACTTGAGCCCCAGAATTTGAAGCCAGTGTAAGGTAGATACAATCTCACAACAAACAAACAAAGCAAAGCCAGCCTGTCTTCTATGTCCTGTGACACAGACATGGACAGGCTGACTGAAGTCCCTAAGCGTCTACATGTGCTGGCCCAGAACCAAAGACCGCTGAACACTCACTGTGTGCCGGAATGAAGCCTCCATCAAGAGTTGACCACAAACCCAGTACTGCAGAGTGACCAGTGTCCCAGGGCACACACAATAGGGATGACACAACCTTCCAAAGGTGGAACCTTGTACTGGGTTCCCACATAGATCTAATGCCTGCCTGTCAAAGAAGATTCCAGACAAATACCCGATTCCGTTTAAAGGGCTTTTTTTTTTTTTTTTTTTTTTTTTTTTCGAGACAGGGTTTCTCTGTATAGCTTTGCGCCTTTCCTGGGACTCACTTGGTAGTCCAGGCTGGCCTCGAACTCACAGAGATCCGCCTGCCTCTGCCTCCCGAGTGCTGGGATCAAAGGCGTGCGCCACCACCGCCCGGCTTAAAGGGCTTTTATTAAGGGGCACAGGACAAGAGCAACAGGATGGACATACAGGGGAATGTGACACAGAGGGCCTGAGGGTCGGTGTGGACTATAGACTAAATAAAAGGGTCTTGAGAACATTCTGTGCAAGGCCTTAGGAAAGGGCAGACTCGGCACTGTTACCTACACCTATTGGGTTTCATTGCAGGAATCAAAAGGAGTGGAAAAATATGGTTGTAGTGCCTTGAGTATTACTAATATCTCAAGCAAGGCTATCATAATTTTTTTCACTAACTCTAAAAAATCCAGGATTTTTTTCCCAACCCTTTTTCTGGGTTTGGACCGACGGTGTCTATTCTGTTTGTCCTGATTCTCCTTGTCCTTGGCTTGACTCTCTTCAGTCTGGATTTGGTTCTGATTCTTAGCTTCGCCCTCCTCTATCACATCTCCCTTCTTCGCTTGGGCTCTGGTCAATTCAGCCTTGGCACGGATCAACTCAGCCTGGGCACGGATCAACTCAGCCTGGGCTTGAATCTGCTCATCTCCACCCTGGTATTGGGTCAGCTCAGCCTGAGCTCGGACAATATCAGCCCGAGCTCGGACAATCTCAGCCTGAACTCGGACAAACTCAGCCTGGGCTTGAATCCACTCATCTCCACCCTGGTATTGGGTCAAGTCAGCCTGAGCCCCGGTCAGCTCGGCCTGAGTTCGGGTCCACTCAGCCTGAGCTCGGACAAACTCAGCCAGGACTCGGTTCAACACAGCGGGGTCTCGGATAAACTCAGCCTGGGCTTGAATCTGCTCATGTCTAGGCTTGGCTCGAGTCAACTTAGCCCGGGGTCGGATCAACTCAGTCTGGCCTCTGGTCACCTCAGCCGGGATTCGGATCAACTCAGCCTGGGCTCCGATCTCCTCACTCCCATCTCTGGTCTCCTCTTCCACAGCTATGTCACACAGACTCTGGTAGGAAAGGATCACAAGGTTTAAAGGTCTGGATCATTTTGTCCCCAAAACCCTGTTCCCAGGCCTCCTAATCCCCTTAACTGGCACCAGCTAGGACTTAGAGACCAGTGAGCCAGAAATCCCTGGCCGGCTCTGAATGTGACATGGGATACAGACACCTCCTTTAGTCTCCAAGGCCACCTGTGTCCACACTAACTGAGAAGTTGGGGAGTCTGCAGGAGTCTGTGTATGAAGGATGGGCAAGCCTGAGAAAGAAGCTTCCTCACTGAGCTGGGACAGGCTTCTCCACCCATTGAACACGAGTGAGAGGCTGAGGTTGCTGGAACATAAGCCTGGGGGGTGGGGGGGTATGAAGGCAGATTCAACAGTCTGGAACCTTACGTTTCTTTGTTGAATTACCTTAGGTCTTTTTGAGACATTTCTTGTCTGGGACTGACTCTGTAGCCCAGCCTGACTGGCATCTTCCTGC